TATCAGTCCAGAATGCTTGAACTAGTATGTGTACACAGTTGGGCTGTGTACTCTGTGTGTGTTGACCATAGAGGTTCGTTTTCTTTTCCTGTCCCTAAAAATAGGCCCAATCCCTGTCCTCCTTACACATTCTCACTTATTTTGTATGCATTATGAGTTTGGTAGCGATCAGTGAAGTTCGATTCATTGTATTATGCTGTACAATGATGATGATGATGATGATGATGATGATGATGATTTGGCCAACTGCCAGTGCGAAGGAAAGGAATGGAGTGGACAAAGTTGTAGGAATGAAATAGGAGGAAACGGGGAGAATGGAAAATTGTACAAGGGAAAGTCGGGATATAGATATGCATGTGATACAGTCCAAAACACAGAGCATGTGTTTATCACCGTAATCAGCTGACCGAATATATGCCCTTCCGGATCACAACGGATGCGAACAGTTTGCAGAGGCGTTCTTTAGGCAAGTGACTTAGTGAGCTCCTGCGTCTGACATTTGTGAACTGTTTAGTTATAGATATATCGGGAGCATTTCCCGAAAAACAAAGATTCTTGACACAACTTAGTTTTTTTACAGGGTTAAATTCAGGCGTTTACTTTTCCGTTTTGAGCTTGTAGGCTACTGTTCTCACACGGTCATTTCAGATGAACTCATCCCAGTCATCGGTGGGCTTTCGTAAGCAGTTTGCGATCTGTTGTACCGAGTATGTCAGTTCCTAGGAAGCGAATATACAACAAGCGATGTAGTCTTTGCTCTTTTTTGTATTCTGCATACATATATCAGCTCATGATTACGTGAATTGTGCAATACGGTTTGATGGATTTCAGTGGATGGTTTGTTAACGTTACGTTATTTCATCTTTATTCACAGATGATATGCGGTGTCAAGTTCTTTGTCAGTGGCTGAGCGCCGCAGATCAGTCACAGTATTTCAGTAGATCTCCGGCTGGAGACAGAGAATCATGGACTGATGATCGCCTTTACGATCCGTCTACGTGGCACGAGGTAGATGGTGACAGCAGCACGTCTTGGACCGATCGCAAAGTGGTGAGTCTGTGTGAAATCGATTAGATTTCTGACTACCTTTGGGTACATGTATCACCGGCTGTCGAGCACGCATGATGCCAAACCCACAGCAATAAAAATAACAAAAGTGGATGGGGATTAGGATATAGAACAGAGTGAAGTGGAGGCTTTACAGTTACAATGAATAACAGTGGACAACAAAGATAACAACAATTTGTTTTGTCAGTTTATTGCTTTTTCACGCAGTACGGGAATTAAATGGGCAGACTGCACGGAATTTGCGCCACTCACTTCTGTCCTCTTAGCGTCTCTCATCAACGATAGTCCTCGTCCCTTAGACCCCAACCTGGAAGTTGGGCTGCACCAACTAAAGCTAAAATTGAAGCTAGCTTCGTTATACGTCTACGCAATGTCATGGTCTGACCATCGCGACGATTCTTTCAGCCTTGCTCAGCACGTGGAAGCAGAGTACGGGATGGTAGGCAGAATCATTCATACTGAAGATAAAGTTTTGACTGTTAAGTTAAAGTTAGATTTTTTGTATAAACGACGAACCTTCTGTTTTTTTACCGTTATCAATAAAACGTGGAATATTCTGAAATTTCTCGACCAATGAAATCTGACAAGGTCGGGGAGAGTAAATGTGTTTTCAAGGATCGATAGAAGTGAAACAGTCCATAGATCACGGTATATATATATATATATATAATAGCATGGGATTACATTATATGTACTTTCATTTTGCGTGTACCTTAAATGCTCAAACTCTCGTTGTAAATACAGCATTCAATTTATGCTCAGAATATTCGGACTGTGACAAATTTCACTGCAGCTGAATTTTAGGTTTGCGAATTCATGCGTTTTTTCCCACTGATTGTATTGCTCCCCAGTGATTTTTCCCGGTATGTTGAAAAAAGACTTGTTTGCTGGCGAAATCTCTGAAATACGTCTCTAAATTTCGTGGCAGTGTCAGGGACAAACTCGCGGATTCTATCATAGACAGACACTTACAGGCATGTGAAAATTTTACTGTCAAAATACTTTTGGACACTGACCACAACGAATTTTCAGAAGCTGTATCTACATCGTTCACACGCTCAAGATTTAAACTTTTATTTGCATGTATCTCTTCTTATCGTAATTATGTTTTGTCATATATAGCACGTCACTTATTGACAGGGAGAAGATTTCCACAGAATTGCGCAATTGCTTGCTTCATTGACAAACACAATCTACTGCTTTCAGTTTCATTATGCATGATTTTATAAATTTGAATCCACAAATGTGATGTAAATGCTAAAAATTCACCCAGGCGGGTGCATAAAGGTACTACTGCATTGGCTTAACTTGACTTGTATGATCTTCGTTGAATGTTATCTTTCACTCCAATTCGCAGCATTTTGACGGTGATGCTGGGAAGTCTGTGGTTTTCAACCCCACCACCACGGATTATAAATTATCTTCACATACAAAGGAACTCAATGTGGAAGTTTTGCAAAACTTAAACAGTTATACGTCAAACTCGAGACAGCACGCGAACAACCTTCTATGGGCTATTTGGCGCGGAACGGTACTCAGGCACGGTGATAATCAAACAAACCGCTGGGAGGTAGGTATATTGATTTGTATGCACCCTGACCAGAAAAAATAAGCATGAACTTCAAATCATTGTATGTTGGGAAGCCACATTCGAAAGGCACTGAACGTTTACCACAAATCCAAGACAATCTTTGTTGTAATCATGCTCTTGAGGTGTTTCCAGATTGCAATAGTGACAGCAGCTTTTATGTCTGCTTAAAACCGATATTTTTTTGTTACTCGTCCCTCATCGGCTACATTCCTTGCTTGAAGTTTGTTCATCACATTTGGGTGCCCTATTTTCTATTTAAAGATTTTAATCGATTTGAATGTCCACGGAAACATCACTATTGGATTAGTCTAGTGGATACCGTAACTTGACACGCACGTTTTCCTGACTTAAATGCACCAGCATTCTAGCTGGCGCACTTACGTAACCTGTTTTTTCTTCGTTCCTCAGAAATACCCCCGGGTTACCAACTCAGACCGAGAAATTCAAGCACTTATCACAAATTTGCATCAATGTATTCTGGCTGGGTGGTTCCCGGTCGACTACCAACATTCACAATCCGGTAGGTCTCGCACTATTCCGGTTGCTACTTCTACGATTTTTAATTACGTGATACATGGGAGTGTGCAACAGCGAGTATAAATCGCAATGCAATATCGATCATTTAAGTGTCATGTAAGACATTCAAGTCAAAATAAATTGGTTTTATTTGGTGTTTTTTAGCAGAAATATTGGAAGACAAATATACAAGAAGTTTCTCCTGGTACTCACGGCTTCCTGGTAGAAAAACATTAACGGAGCCTAGATGTAGGATGAGTGGAGATAGTTTTATGCCATTAATAGCATACTGTGTTCACGCGACTTCAGTCGGTTGGAACACAAGGATGTTGCTTTGGGTGGCTTCTTACCATATGACCATAAGTCAGCTTCTTAGCTAAATTCATCAAGAGGTTTTTAGTAGAAACGTAAGCGGCATCGACAGTACCGTCCGTTTGTTCCTTGAGTGTTTGAGCCAGCAAAGAGAATTCCTGTGTTTAAAACCCATGGTACTAGTGAGAAAGAACGACTGGAAGCAACAGCTCTGGGTTTCAACAGCACTTCGTAAAGAGGTCAATTTGGGATCTGTTTTCACAGAGCTATCCTTCCGTCAAAACCGATCGAGAAAAAACAAAATTCATGGAAGCCAGATCATAAACCGCTGATCATGGATGTCGGTAAGAAAACTTATTGAAACATATACAGTTGAACAAATTGATTTCTTTCTCTGGAAAGCTTTCAAATTAGTTGACGTAAAATCT